TTACTTTGATTTTTATGTAATTCTTTTCCTACTCTATTTCTTGAGCTGTAACAATTTTTTTTTAGTCCTACCGAAAATATTTAAATGCACACTTTTTTTCCTTTTCCTCTTATTTTTTTTTATATCAACGTAATTAACATCAATGCATAATCTGTTTCATAGGAGTTGAGGGACATGTATGGTGATTGATTTGGCCAATTTAGACTTGAATGGAACTAAATCAAACCTATGGGATTGGTTTTACGCTCATGACGAAGCAAGGAAAATAAGAACTTATTTATTTTATATCTTTCTCTTTATCTTTCTAATTAAACATGTTTCTAACACTAATCAAAGGAGATTTCTTACTTGCCTAATTAATTCCATCAAGTGCTGCTATGCTAAAACGGAGAGAAATTTGTTTGATGTCAAATAGCAAAGCATCACCAACACAGATAACCATGGTTCTAGGTCTCCATGTGATTAGAAGTAGCTTTAAATCCTTTATGGGTTTTTTCCGGCCCAATTACCCTTTAAGACAATTGACCTTATTGGAGGGTTCGAAGTATTAAATGGTTAGGAATCGGAACAAGGCGATAACCTTTCGTTTTCAATTCCCCGGCATTTTCCACTAAGAAAGAAGCGGAAGCGAGGGAGGAAGACGTAGCAATACATTCCACCTGATGCTTGATCACTGCATTCGTGATATATCAAATGAGCTTTTCTTTTCGTTCTACTCGGGCCGTGGTTTTCGACCGGGCCCTGGAAGACTGCTCACGCCCCTAGATAGCTTTCAAAGTCTGCAACCTTGTTCTCCTCCCCCTCACACAACCGGATGGAGGATTCATGTAAACTTATTCTTGTAGGTCCCTCCATCTCTTTAACTGAATAATTCATTCCCTCCTCCATGCTATTGATCGAATCATCCTTCCCGGAATAAAAACATTGGAACTTCATGCTGTCGTAGTGAACCATTTTCTTTTGGATGATGCACCACTGCCTTCTTAGAAACCCAGTAATCTTCGGAATTCTGCCTTCTATCATCTTCCTTATAGGTATAGGCTTCGAAAGCAATCTCCTTAATAGCTTGGATTTGTCGACTTCATCCGCCCTGCTCTTAGCTCGGGGACTTGCTTAATAGAATGAGGCCCCCCTTGTTCTTTCTTGGATTCCCACGAAGCTAACTAAAGAGAAGGGGCATACCCAGATCGAGTAAAGAAAAAGGGAGAAGTTTCTTATTTTTTTTAGTTTTAAATTAATATTTTAACGTTTTATAGGATCATTTTGAAATACGTTAATATTAAAAATAAATTTTAAAATATAAAAAAATTATTATAATATACTTTTAAATAAAAAATTCTTTTAAAAAAACCTCAATCATATTTTTAAAAAGATATTCATAATACTTTTAAAAAGATATCCATATCGTTTGATGTTCCAGGATTATTTGGTTAGTATGTTCATTTGCGCTTCTGCCCCATCGTATCTGAAAAACAAGAAGTGAGTTAGATTGAAAAACAATGAAAAACAAGATAAGGAAAGGGAAACTAATTTGGAAAAGAAAAAAAGGGGATGGAAATGAACATGCAGTGTAAAATCACACTAATTTATTAAGACATACAGGCACTCAGATCCGCAATGAGAGACCTGACAAAAGTTTTATTAATATTACAAATAGCACATTAATATATTATTTGCCATGTCCATGGAAACATCAATATCTATGTTTGCCACGTTTCGTCGATTTATCACGTATACATATTGACATACACAGTCCCATTAGTGCAGCAATGTTAAAAACCATGAACCTTCCCTCACGGATTTAAGATCTGGGATATATCTCAAGTCGAACCAAAATGACTCCGTTTAAAACTATACTGATTATAAATTTTTATATTTAAAAAAGTTTAATTAGTTTTCACCTGTGATTTGATAGGGTCGCGGGTGGACTAGGAATTTATTAAGTTTTATAAAATAAATTCTTATTTAGTTTGATATAAAACTTAATCAGAGCTAGATTTTAGTTTGATAAATCACCAATTTAACCTATCAAATCAAGTTAAATAAAACTATCATATTGTATATAGTGTAAAATTCGACTTCATTGCAAAAAACTAAGAATTATTGTTTGTTATTCAACATTGTAAATGTATTATAATAGTGAATAATAGCATTTAAAATATAAAATATATTTAAGAGCTTTGAGTTTATACAAATTTAAATTTATAAGCATGTAAATAAAAATCCATAATAAACATGTTTTCAATAAAAAATAATAATAGAATTCTAGCATTTATACTAAATATATAATCGAATTTGTAATTAATATTAATTTAAAATTTTAGTATCCATACTAATAATAGAAATATCCATATTAAAAATAAAATAAAAGATGATATTTATTGTTATTAGTAATGTGTCATTTATTCTAAAATAAAAGATGATATTTACTTGTTAAAAAACTTTAAAGTAATGAAATTTTTATTGTTATTAGTAATGTGTCATTTATTATTAATAATTTATTATTCTTCACTTGTGTAATTAGAATATTTGTTATATATTTTTCAAGATTTGAACAACATCTTTATTTTAATTTAGCTATACTTTTAAATAAGGTTTTTTTAACATAAATAAAATAACTCAATTATCTTAATAAAGTGAACTTAAGCTTCAGATTTGGAAGGAAACATAAAGCATAAAAAATGAAGAAAAACACTAAAATTGAGGTGATAAAAGGCTTGCAAAATTTTGAAAAAACATGTAGGAAACTCTCCATTCTTCTTCTTTTTAATGAATTTTGAAAGAGAAAATATTAAAGAATTAATTATGGTAATGATCATAATTAATTATCATTATTTTCAAAATTTGATTAGTCCAAAACATTATTTAGATCCAAACATTATTTAGACCCAAACCCGTGTTGTGTATTGTGCTTGTAGATTTAAGTCGAAAGCTCATTTTGTTTAGAATATCTGCTTTTTAAAAGCTTGGTTGTTCTTTAAGCAATTTCTTATTTTATAAATAAAAATAAAGTTTTGTTTTACATGTGATAACAAATTTTTAAAAGGTTTTGATTTTTCTTAAAACAAGTTGGGATGATTATTTAAGATTAATTTTTTATTTACTCATAATTTTTTATATTAAAAATCTCATGTTGAATATTAAGTTTTAATAAAATTTTAAATTTTAAATTAAAAATAAGTAAATTTCTTTTTTAATTTAATCTTAAATACGCTCGTTAATCATATTCTAACAAATTTTACAAGAAAACGCAAATTCATTAGAGATTATCAAAATATATTTTCCTAAAATTTCTGGACCGTCACAAAATATGGAAAGACAACCCCCACATGACCTGGAAAGTGCACTGTGCTTTTGGATCCTTGACCTTGCCTTAAGACATGGGTTGGAACTTTGAGCTTTGAAGTCACCCATGCCGTTAGTGCTGAGCCTACCGACGTGGTTCTAGCAAAGAAAGACGTTCCATCTGCTACAACGTGTAAGACAACAAGGTGGCGCCCCCACCGCCCGGAACCTGTCAGACCACTTATCAAACCCACATGTCCAGTCTGTAATCGGTGTAACTTTCACACACGTAAAGGCAGATATTTTAGAACTGTTTACATGGGTTGAATTATTCTTTAATCCTGATATTTTGAGCCTGATTATAACTTAGTCCTTCATATATTTCAAACCCAATAACTTAGTCCTTTCAATCTTCTTGACATATGACATATTAAATTTCTTTTTCTGGATTTGTACCTAAATCCCAAATGCATATCATATTAAATAAAATAAAAATGTACCTCTCTTGGCATTTATATTCTTAAAAAAATGGTTAATTGATTTTCCTATTTATCATTTTACGACTTTTCACTCTCGTATACCCTTGACATCTTGATATTTTCTCAAATATTTTTCCTTTTTTTGGACAAAAATACCCCTTAGACCACCAAAAGAAAATTAACTTTCTATACATAAAAAGTTAATCATAAAAAACTTATCAATACTTGAAAATGTAAAAAATAGAAAATAGAAAATTTGAAATATTGAAATATCTCAAGAAATTTTAAATATTCCATAAAAAAATATAAAGAAAACATTAATAACATATGAAAACTCATATCTTTCAAACCTATATCGTTTCCATAGACATACTTTATTTATGAGGTTTTATTAACATGGTTTTTTTATTTTTAGATTTTACAAGTTATTATTATTGTTTCTAGATTTTTAATATTCTCAATATTTTTTTTTTTATTTTTTGAAGTTATATTTTTTTATTTTTTTATAAATCTCAAAATTAATTCCCCTCACAATATATAGTTGTACGTTATTTTAGTCTAGAAAGTGGCGAAAGAGCATATGAGAGAAAATATTTATTTATAAATGAATGTTCTTAAAAGAGCATACGAAACAATATACCGAATATATAATATATAAGGATAGGTGGTTCAATTATTCCTGAAAAAAATACCAAGGATTTAGTGAAATTCGAAAAAAAAAAGATTTAAATAAAATAGTCGAGAAATGTCAAAAGACAGAGCATGGACTTGCAAACAAAAAGACCTAAATTATAATTAGGTTCAAATCTAGGGACTAAATAATAATTTAATCATACCTTTAATTAGGTGAACGTCGCCAGCCTATATTCTAAAATTTTATAGCCGTTGTAAAATCACAAACAGTAGAAGACACCCCTCTATAAGATCACCCTCTTCTTACAAGCCTAAGACACAGCTTTTGTCCAAAACCAGAACCAAAGTTGCGCAGAAAAATAGGAAGGCAGCTAATCTCTCTTGTTTCTCTGATTTATTGATTACTTTTATCATCAATGGCTGCTCAGGTTATTGTCTCCAAGACACTCTTGCTTGTCCTTGTGATTGCTGCATTCGCTGTTGCTTCTGCCCAAGATAGTGAATCAATGGCTCCTGCGCCTGCACCAGGAATGGATGCTGGAGCTGGGTTCTCCTCGCCAGTTTCTGGAGCAATTGTCGGGCTCTCTCTTATTGTTTCTCTTCTTGGTTTCTTGAAACATTGATTAATCTGTTGTTTCACTTGACTTTTCAAGTTGGGAGGAGTTTTGGTTGATTAAATTAATATTTGTTGGGAGAGAGAGAGCGAGAGAGAGACGATGGAAAATTGTTGTATATTGGATTCATTCTTTGTTATTATTTATTTACTACAAATTAATGAACTAATTACTCTGGTTTTTTTATCCTTTTTTGATAATAACTTTATTTGCTACATACAAAATTAATGAAATAAAAAAATTATCCACCCTTAAATTAAAAAATTCACTTGGCTACAGATAATTTGCTGAATCAATCATCTACAATTTGCAATTGTTTTTTTATCATGATTTAAACTAATGTTAATATTTGTAATAAATTAATTTTACTCATGAAAAATTATATATTAATTAAATATTAGTCTTATATTTATTATTTCACTATCATTGAAAAAAAATTGTAAATCCTACTACATAAATCTGAATAATAATTATAGCCTGGTGGCTGATGTGTTCTGACTTTTAAAATCCCCAAAACACCTTAGTGTACTAGCTTCTTCTTTTTTTGACAAGCACGCGAGACTTGTCTCTTTGCTTTTAGACATTTACCCTTTTATATGGTGTTTTTTTTTTATAAAAAATATTATTTTTTTATTGGAATACACTATAAAAAAATGATTTATAAAATATTTAAATTATTATTCAATTTTATTATGTCTTTTTAGATTATGTTATATATTTTTATAGGAATGCGATTTTTTTAATTATTATGTACCCATTATAACAATTAATAAACAAAAAAAATTCAATGAAAATATACTTTTTATTTTTATTTTGATGGATTTTTAACATGATTTTATATATTTATTATTTTTTTCCTTTAATTACATAAAAAATATAGATACATTATTTTAATATTTAAAAAAAAAACTTACTTTAAGATCACAACAAGTTTTTATTTAAAAAACAATGCTTACAATAAAAAATATTTATGTTAAAACAATAAAAAAATGCATTAATAAAAAATAGATTTTAGATTAAAGAGAATGCAACTCAATAATTTTATGCATTCTATTTTACAACTATATAATTAAATAAAAAATAAAATTTAAAAATTAAGGTTATTAAACCGGGTCAAAGTTATGATTTAGATTATATATTAGATAAGGTAGCTTAGTTTGATCTAATTCTATCCAAAATATCATCATTTTAATTTTTTTTTATAAAACAATATTAAATAGATATTATTTTTATTTTTATTTTTAATTCAAATAAATTTTTAAATAAATCGACCAAGTCATGTGTACTTATTAGCTTAGTTGGGTCACATTAGATTACTTTTCAATCACCAATTTATTTTAAAAGTTGATCTGATCAAGGGATTATTATGTGAACTCGTTAAAATTAATTAATTTTAATAATATTATTGAAGAATTCTCCATTATAATACTTTGGAAATTGTCGTAGTTACTGTTACATAAACATGGTCATTCATGAAGTATTTACTTCTAATTTATATAAGATAATTTAGTTTTAATTTTATAAAATACTAGCTTTGTAAAAAATAATTTTTTATTTCATTTTTCTAGAATATTTATGATAATTTTCGCATTTTTATATCTAAAATAGTAATTCAAGACTAAACTTGCATAACATTGAAGTATTTTATCTGAAAATATGATTTCGATTACTTTTTAAAGTGTTTTTAACTAATAAATATATCAAAATAATATTTTTTTTATTTTTTAAAATTATTTTTTATATTAACATATCAAAATGATATAAAAATATCAAAAATATATTAATTTAAAGCAAAAATTTTTAATTTTTTTAAAATATTTTTAAAATAAAAAAATAAATAACAACTTAGAAGCATAAAGTGCGTTTGCTCACGAAAGACTGAAATTCATTGCTTTAGCAAAATTCTGATAATTATTGAAACGCTCTAAAAAAAAATTTCAGAATATTTATAAGCTTAAAAAGCATTAAAGGATTTAACAAAAAAAAACCCACCAACAAAAAAAGCGAACCCACAATTACCTGAAAAGTTCATCTGGGCTTTACCTGACATCAAACCATGGGCTCGAAGTCACCCGCGAACTTACCGACACACATGTTCTCAAAGACCGCCCATCTGCTGCAACGTGCTGGGCATCAGTGCTGTGTCCCCATCTCCCCCAAAGCTTATAGGCCACTTATCAACCCCCATGCCAGTATTCCACAGTCTGTTTAACTTTTTAGTCACAGCCTGTATAGCTTGCACCCACAAAAGGCATAGCTGTTAGTGCTGTGGGTGAACGTCGCCAGCCAATTATTATTCTAGAAATTAGAGCTTCTAGCCGTTGTTGAAGGTCTAAATATCATAGCGAGGGACGCCTTTTAGACCCACCAGCCTTGCAAACCCCCTATAAATACTGAAATTAACGAAGTTTCAAAACACCAAAAACCAAAGTTACTAAGAACCGTATCAATCTATCCGTCCTTTTCTTTTCATCTATAACCTCTTTTATAATTAGGAATGGCTGCTCAGGTTACTATCTCCAAGGCATTCTTTCCCCTTCTAGCGATTGTTGCGTTTGCAGTTGTTTCTGCTCAAGAAAGTGAGATGGCTCCTACACCAGCACCTGGAATGGACGCTGGAGCTGGGTTTTCTTTGCCGGTTTCTGGTGCTATTGTTGGATTCTCACTTGCTCTCTCTCTTCTTGGTTTCTTGAAACGATAATTATTCTGCTGTTTATTTTACTAGTGATGAGGAGATTTGGTTCGCATATTAATTTGTTGTGAGAGTGATGAGATGGTGAATGATACAATGTATCATTTGATTAATTCTTTGTTATTTAATTTAATGCTTACAGTAATGAAATGATTGTTTTGGTTTATTTATCAAATTTCTACTCTTGTAATACGCTACATTTGATTTTGAAATATGTTTTAGGAATCCTTTGTTATTGTTGTTACAACCGCTTTTTTTTTTAAAAAAATTTTTATTATTTTAATATATTAAAAATAAAAAATAAAAAATAAACCATAGCGCTCTCCCCGTTAACTTTTAAAACATGAGCTTTTTTTTAATGGGAGTTCAGTGGATTTAGACTTAGGGATTAAAAAGATTTTTATTCTTTATTTCTAGAGAGGGATTAAAATAAATTTAAAAACTTGGATGATTTTATTATAACCACACTATCTGATTTGAAGACTGGCTTAGAAAAATCACAAGGTTAAGTCAATGGTCAGAGTCACTTGATCAATCCAGTTTCATCATGTTAACACAATAAATTCTATTAAAATATAAAATATAAAATAAAATATCCAAAGAAAATAATTTTAAAAAATCTTACCTGAGCTTTTCTTTAATAATTAGGAAGGACTTTTTCCGTTTACCACTCTTTGCTTCAGGCACGGATTAGAGATGTTTAATAACGTTCCTGTAGAATTGTTTCTTCTATAATAATAGACATAAACTCATCTCATATCATACCAAATCTCATATCATACCAAGTTAATCTATATCTGATTAAAAATATATTATAAAATGATGGATGTCTAAACTTTCTTTAGGGTTGTTAATACTATTATTAAATTCATCCCAGCATATTAATTTTGAAAGCATTCAATCCGATTTTCTTTTCTAGTTCGAACTTAAAATTAAATTATATAAAAATAGTTAAAATATGATCAAGTCTAGAAATAACCTTGATTAAAGAGAAAAATACTTTTCTAATAAATGAGTTATTTTCTATTACTTGAACATATTAGGAAAAATACTTTTTTCTATAAAACAAAAAATTATAATATTTGTGATAAAAAATATTAATAATTATAGTCGCTATATAATAATACCATAATGATAATAACACTAATAATAATATTGATAATAATAATAATAGTTACGGTAATAGGTGTTATGATAATAATAATATTATTTATGAATGTTATGAAAATAATGACTAAATTGATAATGAAATAATGCTTACAGTGATATAGTTGAATATAATAATAGTCATTATCAACTAATTAATTTGTCAGGGGTTTAATAATATCCAACAAATCAAATTTTAAAAGCTCTTAATTTTATTTTATTTTTGTGATTTTAAGAGCGCTAGAAATAATAGTTGGAATGGTAATTAATAGTACAATGGAAAAATTGTTTTTTTTTTTTAGCAATATTAAAAAGTTGACTATAAAATATTTTTATTATTGATTTAATTTTTATAATATTTTTTAAATTAAAAGGAAAATATTTTTATAAAAAATATCCCCTTGAAATGTTTTTATAATGGAATTTATTTTTACAGAAAACAACTTAAATTAAAAAGACAAGTCATCATAAAATAAACGCAGAGATAAACCCATTCAGAATTGGGCTCATACATGCAACCTAATTCTTGGCATAACAACACCCCTCAAATCCATTAAACAAGCCCAGATTGAAGCCCCATGTTTTATTCAAAACTGAAAATTTCAGTTACCATCATAGTAGTTTAGCTTTCCATTTTTTTTTTAGAATTAGTTTTACATTATTATTTCAAAGAATTGCAGAAATAATGCCTGATTTTATAACGTTTATTCTAGCTGAGTGTTTTTATTTTTTCTGAGTTCTCATACTTATTTTGATTAATTAGATGCTTCTATAAGGTGACTTGACCTTTATATGTGTTGTCAGCATAAATAAATGTGGGGGCTTCTATTATTACACATCATTAATTCCTTTTTTTCCCCAAAAAATAGAAAATACTTGAATAAAAAAAGGAAATAAGTTAAGAAGAAGAAAATATTTAGAAAGATATGTTTCCAAATCATCGAAATCCAACCATTTCTTTTAGCGAGACCACCATTTGACAAATATAACTCTCCTTTTAGAGACCCATCTTCGATAACCATGAACCTAAATTCATTGGATTTTAGGGGGCGAAACTGGCTTTCAAAATTTAAATTTACAAGTTAAAAATCTAAAATTTAGTTTAAATTATTGTTTAAAAATGATATGTGATATTTATTCGTGGTAGCCGTCTTAAGGATGATTTTGGCAATAGTTTGAGAGAAAATGAATTTATAATTTGGACATGTTTGAGAATGTGATTGATGGTATTTTTCAAAATATTTTTTGTTTAGAAATCTATTAAAATAATTTTGCTTTTAATATTAGCATATTAAAAAGATCTAAAAACACGTAAAAAATAAAAATAAAAATAAAAATAAAAATAATTAAAATTTCCTGAAACTCTGGTACAAACATAACCCTAAATAACCATTTCATGGCTGTG